ACATATACGGGACATTGATGTGAGACCAGCTTTGAAGAACTGCTCTGCTAAAAACGAGCAAACAAGCGTGCGTAAAAGCATGCGTATGTATGGGCAAGCGTATATACATGTGTGCACATACACATGTATACATGTATGTTACTTATGGGCAAGTCAGAATGATGGCTCATAATTTGAGTCATTTTCTGAATGATGGCAGTACCTGTCCCATAGCAGGGCCTCCAAACACATTCAATGAATGAGCAAATGAAATGTTGGAGATGTGTGTCTTAGGGATGGGAAGATGCAGTCTGGAAAAGGAAGGGGCTCAGTTAATTATGACTATTAGTCCATAAAATGTGCCATAGGAGAAAACCCCATGGTTATTCTGTAAGTTTAACAGACTCTTCCTCCTTCCCCATCTCCCCTGCCCCTTTCTTTTTTCCACCACAGCTCTGCAACGGGCCAGGAGCTTCCAGTCTCCACCTCCCAGCAAATACCAGAGCTGGAGAAGAAAATTCCAGTCGAGTGAGTCATGAGCTCTCTGGGAGTGGAAGGGGAGGGGCATGGGCAGTCTTCTGGTCAATTCTCAAGGGCACCTGTTCTCATTGCATGCATGTCCTCTCTGACCTGGCCTCCTGGATGTTAGGGGCAAGGAAAGAAACAGAAGGTTGACTGTTCTCACGGCTGACTCGAGGAAGCATTTTCCAAGGATTTGGGGCCTTTTCTTCTCCTTCAGTCTGGAATCATGGAGCCTTAGAGCTCTACAGCTGCACCTGGAAGGGGTGTTAGTAATCATTGGCTCCAAGCTTTGTGAAACACAGATGAGGAAACTGAGACCCAGAGCCTCTATGTATTTTCATTTTGTGCACTGGAGTTGGACTGGGGGCATATCAGGGCAAAGCAGTGAAAGAAGCCACACCTACACCCACTCACACGCCCATCCATACAAACACACTCGCTTCTTTTTCTGAGCAGACTTTGATCCCAGCATCCCTGAGAAGAACAGGGCTGGGGGTGGACCAGCGGCTGCAGCGGATGCCAAGGCATCTGGATCCCACTAGGGGGCACAGTAACCCTGCTCACAGTGGCACAGCACCCCGGGGCTGGCCACGTTCTCTGTGCTGCCTCCCTTAACACAGGGCAGGCATCCCCTCCTGGGCCCTCTAATCCATCTCCAAGGCTACCTTCCATCTCCCCCTGCCCCCACACTCTCTCTCTCTGGACTTTATGCTGGGAGAGGTGGACCCAGGAAAGCCTTGGGTTAGACAAAAGTTTCTAAAAAGAGCCGTTGTTGAAGTTGGAACAGAGCACTAGTTAGTTGCTCCTTCCTTCTGAGTCAACACGGACTCCTGGCCCATGAGTCATCCTGCCAGCAACCCTCAGACTCCAGGCTCCCCCCTTCTTTGGGTGAGGCTGGGATAATGGGTGCCTCTGGAGCTGGACCACAGCTGCACCCCACAAGCCACTCCACCTGGGACACCCTGAAATGACTCTGGAATCATCTTGCAGTCCCAGGCACTGAGGGTGACGAGAAAAGAGAATTAATGTTTACGGAAGGCCTGGGTCACTTCATTTCTCACCCCTCCCCGGCCTTGAGCCCCTCCCCAGATCACAGGAATTCTGCCTCTTTGGGGTGGGGGGGGTGTCCATTTGAGTACAGATTCCACCCAGCACTTCCAGCTGACTTCACTGAGCGCCAGGAGTGCAAGGGGCTCGGCCTTTGCGCTCGAGAAGTTCCCAGTCTGGGGTGCAAGCTGCAAGACTGGTGGGGGGCCCCTCCTAGCAGGTTAGGGGACGCTGCAGGAGGCACAGGAGAGAGGGGACTGCTAACCGGCAGCACGGTTTCTGGGATGGGCCTGAGGACCTCGGCGTGTCTTTAGTTATCCCAGATGTTGGTTCTCAAGTGTATATATAAAAGATGGTTTGAGGGCAGGCCTTGAGTTGGGGTCATTTGTATGGGTCTGGCCCAGAGGAGGTGTCCAGTTGTTGTTTGCTGAATGAATGAGTAAATGAGTGAACAAACTAACATACGAACCAAGGAACAAGCAGGCTGGACTGAGGGAAGAAACGAACGGAGCCTATGAGTTCAGCCTGCACAGGCGGGCTGCCCCTAGAGGGCGCACTGAGACCGGGAGATTTGAGCATTGCCTGAACTCCAGATTTTGGGAAGCTGCACCCCAGAATCCCAGTCTTTGTAAAAATCCTCACGCCCGTCATTTTGGTCATCTTCATTTTGCCCAAGAGGAAACCCCAGGGGGCAACACTGGTCCTACTGTAGTAAGGAGCAGGACGTGGGGCGCCATCTCCTGGGTCCATTTACTGCCCGGTCAAGGCCGGTTCTGGCCCCAGCGCCAGGTGGGAGGACAGAGGGAGCTGTGTGAGTGCCCTTCTCACCCTCCCCCTGCTGACCATAGTCACCACAGTGACCTCTAGAACCAAGGGGAAAGGTCACTGCCAGAGGGCCCAGAGAAGAGGCAGCTGAGCCAAAGGAGGCTTGGGTGCTGTAACCCGGGCCTGCTCTGCTCCTCGAGCCCTTTGCATGATGGGACCAGCAGGGCTGGCAGCACCCGGGACTGAGGCCCCTGCAGAGGGCAGGGCAGCCTGGCTGGACTGTGCCAAGAGTCCAAGGAAAACAAGAAGGAACTTGCGGAGAAGGATCTGAGTTGCTGAATGAGGAATCCCTGGGCCTACAAGTTAGAGAAATCCTGGCCAGGGTTGGGGTATGCAGCCCCCTCTGGAGCAGGTCAACAGTTCAGCACTGTCTTTATTGGACACAACTTGTGTGCGTGAGAGGAAGACAGGGATTAGAGTTAATATTTAGCTAGCGTGCAGCATTGACTTTGCATTCTACCCCGGGCACCGCTTTTTATCCCATTTTATTCCTTCAGCCTCCCCGTGAAGCAGTGCTAGCCATCCCGTTTTCCACATGAGGAAAGTGTCAGGCAGCTGGAGTGGGTGTGAAGGAGGTGGGGTTCCAGGTTCCCCTTTGCCATTCTCTGAGGGAGCCCAAAGACACTGGCCACCTCAGGCAGGTGAGATCTCCTGTCGCCTCTCAGCTTAGCTCTGGTGGCAGCTTGACTGGCAGGTGTCCCTTCAAGCTCTGCCCAAGTCCTCCTGAAGTCAGTGCATGAGGAACATGTGTGCAGAGAGGCCTCACTGGTGGGAGTGGTTGGGGGGGGGCAGGGCTTACAGAAAGGGGCAAGGGAGCAGGTCATGACCTTGTGAACCCCAAGGCTTTCCTGTCAGGTTTGCTTCCCAAGGTGTCCCTGGATCTGTGTCAGAAAGGGGGAACAAAAGAGCGGTCTGTTGAGCTGAGGGGCCTCTGAGACAAGCTGAGGAGTTTGATTCAGGAGGGAGCAGAGGGAAGAGAACGAGGGGGCGAGGAGGAGGAGGAGGAGGAATGTGGCAGGAACTTGGCAAGCCGAAGACAGGAAGCAAGGCAACAACTGACTCACAGCGTTTGCCTTTTTAGGCTCGAACCATCTAATTGTGGGCTGCGCTGGGGGTTTGGGTGACAGGCTGGCCAGCTACCTCCCCCGCATCGGCTCCTGGCAGCCCCGGGCCTTCTCCCAGCAGCTCCTTCCTGCCACTCTCAGATCTCTTCCCCTGAGTTATCTTTTCCCTCAGAAGCTTTCTGGAGGGCTTCTCTTTGGAAGCCTGTGGAATGTATGTGTGTGGTGGCCGTCTTTCCAGAGCCCAGCACCGCAATACGCACTCTGACACGCTCACCTGCGTGTACAAGGGAAGCAGGACAGAATCCTGAAGAACCCACATGGGTCTGGAAGGAACTCTTCTGAGGGTGGGCTTGGCCTGGCCTGTATGGGTTCCAGAGGAGGAGCGTCTTGCCCGAAGCTTTGGGGAAACTGAGGCAGGGGATTGTCTTGAGTTAGGAAGTGAGCTAACATCTGAAGGCTGGACAACTTGGAGGGGAGTCGGAATGGGTCAGCAGAACGGCCGCGTGCAGGGAGTGCGACAGGAGCGGGTAGACGCACATCGGTCCTGGGAAGTCTCTGGGGGGCAGCCTCATTTGCTGGGAGGGTGCACAGGACAGCTGGCTGGCCTGAAGGGTCAGACGCTGAGCAGACAGTTCCGAAACGGAGGGTGGCATTTTCTGAATCCCTCTGAGGACCTATTATTGGGATGCTCCGCTACAGAAGCAAAGCTCTTGAGATTTTAGATTTAAGGTTACTAGAGGGCGTGTGTGTGAACTCATGAGAGAGAGAGAGAGATTGAGCTCACAGGCTACAACTGTCACATTTCTGCAGTTACCAGACGAATGGACTCCAGCTCCCACAGAGCAGAATGAGGCGCGTCCCCAGGGCCCCAGCCACACACTCCTTTCTCCCATTGCTCTGAGCACACACACTGCATCTCATTTGTTCCCTGACCAATAGGAGCTTGGCACGAACCCCACTCCATATGCTTCAAATGATTTGATGCTCATTATAACCTCCCTCCCTAGTGTTCTCTTAAAATCTCAAACTAACCGTCTCGTCTGAGAGCCCCTTGGCGCCCGTGTGAGAAGGAAGCCCCCGATTCATTAGCGGTGACTGTCTACCCTGCCCACGCCCATGGCTAATGGTCCAGCATCTTGTGGGAAGAGGCCGCAGGTGGTCTATTGACTAAGTGATTTAATGCAGCCCAGACCCCAACCACAATGGCTTCAGGGGAAACTTTAGAGGTAGGCGCCCATTTCCAAGAGATGCCCTGGAGACTCCCTGTTCCATCTCTCAGGAACATCCTGAGTGCGAAGTGCAGTGGTTCCTAGACTTTACACCCTCGGACCTCCGTTCCCCCACAGGAGGCTGCCACTCCTCACCCGTTCCTCCTAAGGTCAAACTCAGCACTGGGGCCTCCCAATCAGTCTCCAACACCTTCCTCCCTCTGACTCTATTTATTGACTTGGAGCTTCTCTTAAAACCTCCTCTTTTCATGATAAAATAAGGTAATAACAGCTCTGTAATGGAGAGTATGTTCTTTCCTTGGTAGGTTTGACGCCAGTGAACAACAAAAGAACTATGTCACCTTCAAAGGAAGCTGCTCCTCTTTCTTCTTCCTCATTGTCTTCTCCCTCATCTTCCGCGCCGTCTTTTTGTTCAGCCAGTGCCCCAGGGAATGCTCTGGATGGCTTCTCCCTACCTCAGGTAAATGCCCTCTGGGGCCCGGTGCAGGTGTTTGGAAGGTGAGCTGCTCGTGCTCCACCCACTTCCACACTTAAGTCTGGATTCTTAGCGCTCTTAGGTCACCCAAGTACAAAGCCAGGGCCATGAGATGCTCTGTCAAGAGTCCACCCAGGCCTGCTTCACTTGTCCTTTTCATGAAGGCTCACCCATCCTGTTCCTCCTCAGCCAGCCCTGGGGCACAGCCACTCACTAAGCTGACTTTGTGGGGAACAGACTCTGGGCAGGACTGTGGCATGCAGAGATGCTAGGATATATGCTCTGCCCTTGAGGGCCTGGCAGACGACCTTGAGGAGTTCACAGCTGAAGGAAGGCAGACACAGACTGAGGCTGCCTTTGGTAGCAGCTGAGACTCTTGGAAGCACATCTCCCCTTGAAAAGAAAATGGCATCACTGAGATACTCAGGTTTGATCTTTATCCTTCAATATGAGTTTATCAAGCCTCTGTTACCTGCTGGACCCTGGTCTAGGCTCTGGGAAATACAGAGCACAAGACAAAGAAAGGTACATGCTCTTGTAAGTTCCTGTCCTTTGACCTGCCCCTCAGGCACCAGAGCTCTTGGCAGGGCACAGCCACTTCTAGAATTTGCCTATGCTCTTCCTTTGCCAAGGGCCAAGTTCTTGCATGCTACAAATGACTACTTTCTCAATGGTGCAATGCATGAGTCAGGTTTAGAAGGGTCATTGAAAAGTCCTAAAGGCCATCCTTCTGCCACCACAGCTCCAGCCCAGAGGGGTAACTGTCTCTCCTTAACTTAATAATCTCCAAGGAAGAAGCCCTGGGCTCTTGGTTGGTGGAGGAACATACATCCTTAGTAAGGACCATGGCCAAGCCAGTCATGGGGTATCTGTCCTCCCGTACACATCTGGCCACTCACAGGGGCCAGGCCAGCTCTACCTGGCTGGCCAGGGAGCTTGTCTGTGCCTTCGCCTTCCATTCTGGCTTCCTACCCACCTAATCCAGCACCCAGCAAAGCCTTTGATCAGTCCTGCCACAGGGACTCCAGGCAGATCCCAGCAGGTCCCGAAACAGCCACTTAGAATGAAGAACAGCCCTTTGAAATCATCCTAGGCAGAATTCTTTCAGACTTTGGGTGTCTGAGATCTGAAGAGAGGAAGGGAGGGGGCCTTGGGCTGAGATATGCCTCCCCATATAAATAAATGCTGGGAATTCCTAAATAACCATTCATTTTTCCCATCCCCTCTAGGTGACAGCTAACAACCTGCCCTCACAGGTCTTAAGAGGTCACTCCAGCCCTTCCACTCCAATCTTTCTGAGGCGTGCCAGAGCCCAAGGGTTACCCAAGGACATGCCCCTGTATCTGCCTCACGGCCAAATGCTGGAGCGGGCAGAGTACTGCATGGTGAGGCCCGGTGGAGATGGCCTCGCCAGCCCCCAGCCGCCCAGCCTTGCAGAGATGGCTTCTGATGGGTGTCAGGAAGCAGAGGCCCCTCTTGGGGATACCAGAAGCATCCGCAGAGGCCCTCACCCCACTGGAGGGAAAGACAGGTGCTTCCCAGACCAAGAGCTATCTCCCAGGGCTGGAGAGGACCCAGGAGAAAAGAACACTGGACCCAGAAGGGGAGAGGAGGACGGGTCAGAGCTGGAAGAGGGGAAGAAGCTGGGCTTGAAGAAGTTAGTCCTCATTCCGGAGCAGAAGACAAAGCTGCTGGACTGGAACCATTCCATCCCTGAGAGTATGAGCCTGGAAGCTGGGGCACAGTCTGCCCAGAGAAGTACTGACAATGGTAGGGGAGGCTGTGTGCTGAAACCAGTTAGTCCCTTGCTGTTCTCCCGGACAGCGAGAGAGACCCCGCCCACCCAGGGAAGGGCTCAGGAGAAGACAGGGACCCCAGCTGAACGGGCTCCACCCAAGTCCCCACTTCGGCTCATAGCAAATGCCATCCGAAGGTCCCTGGAGCCCCTCCTCCCCAACTCGGAAGGTGGGAGGAAGGCCTCTGCCAAGCCAGAATCAAAGACTTTGCCCACCAGCCAGCCGCATGCTTGCACTCGCTCCTTCAGCCTTCGCAAAACCAGCTCCAATAAAGACGGCAACCAGCAGTCCCTGGGGAAAGACATGGCGAGCAGGGCCTCAGCCTTCTTCACCTGGGGCTCCCCACCTGCCAGGGCTGCCCAGCCCTCGTACCCTGGCCCTCCTGACCTTGCCCTCCGCACCCGTAGTTTGCCCGACCGACCGTCCAAGGTGTTTCCTGCACTCATGACCCCGCCCTGCCACAAGATGGAAGATGTCCCCACACTCCTTGAGAAAGTGAGTTTGCAAGAGACCTCCCCAGATGCTTCTAGGGCTCCAAAGGGAAAAATCTCGCTCTTTCCCTCCTTCAGACTCAAAGACAAATCTTTTGAGAGTTCCCTCCAAGAATCCAAACAAAGAAAGGACCTCCAGGACCTCTTTAGCACCCCCAGGGGGGCGGGGGAGCCGGCGGACAGCGCCCAGCCCCTGGAGAAGTTGGCACAGCCTTTCAGTAGCACCTGCCTGGGGCAGAGGGTCCATCCTCCTTCTCCAGACAAAGATGCAAGTAAGTGGTGCTTTCCTAACAAAAGTCTGCAGTTCCTGCTGGGCAGTTAGTCATTCTTACTGGACTAACAACAGGCATCTTTCACTTTCTCCTTCTTCCCAAAGTAAATTCTGACAAAAGTAGGAAGACTTGAATTTGAAAAATTAAGAAAAGATTAAGTTTGAAATGATGTTACAGAGAGTTTTGAAAAAGACAAAGAATCAACCATAATCTCACCACTTGCCTGCTCATTATCCGTATATGGCAACTTTTACCCCCCAAATTGTATTTTTAAAAATCAATATATCCTAGCTATGATGACAGTTAGCACATTGTTTACATAAATGCGATTTGATGGCAGTAGACTACTATATCTAGTGGACATGTTGTTTCATTAGGTAAATAATTTATTTTTTATTTAGAAAATAACTGTTTTATTAATTTATAGATATATATGTATATATAAATTATACATATGAATATATTGGTATATATGGTGTTGAATGAACATTTTTATGCATATAGGTTTTTCTTTCCTTTGAATTATTTTTGTTTTAGGATAGGTCCCAAGAAATGAGGTTACTGGATTAAAGATGCGAATATTTTTAAGTTTCTTAATTTGCACTAACGAATTATTTTTTAACAGTATGGTTAAAGGATACATGGGAGTTTTCTGTGTTATATCTTACACTGCATGTTATAAATTTGAATTAAATGGAGGGAAAGGTACCAGTTTATATTTCACTGCTAATGTATGAAATAACTTTTTCACCATACTGTCACCTGTATTGAGGACCACATTTTAAAAACATTGCTGTTTTACTAGTCAAAAAATGATGCCCCTTTTAAGCTTGCATTTTTTTTATTTACTGTTTAAACACACATATATTTGGTTACCAATGGAAACTTAGGCCTTTTTATATTTAAATATGATTGTAATTTTTTAAATTATTGAATTAATTAATCAAGAATTGGAATAATTCAACAATACAGAAATATCTTTAAAAAAAAAAGTAACATCTATTCTCTGCCCCCTCTCCTCCTTGCCAAAGTTTTGGTATATATATATCCCTACCGACAGTTTAGTTAAACACTCACATGATTTATTTTGTTGTTGATATTTATTTGATGGCTTTAAACAAACTGTGATTCTCCTATTCCTATTTTTTTTAAGATTGTATTTGTTTATTTGAGAGAGAGAGAGAGAGAGAGAGCATGAGCAGGGGGAAGGGCAGAGGGAAAAAAATCTCAAGCAGACTCCCCACTGAGTGTGGAGCCCGATATGGGGCTCTATGCAGAACTCGATCCCAGGACCCCGAGATCATGACCTGAGCCAGAGTCACACACTTAACCAACCATCTGAGCCACACAGGCGCCCCCTGTTCTTGAGCAACTTTGTTTTTACTTATTTTGTTAACTTTTTTCTTATTTACCTTTTATTTTAGAACTTAACGTTTTCAAATGAAAAATTCTTTTCCTTCTTTGGTGCCTTAATCAGAAAGCTACATAGATTCACAAGAGACTTTATTTTCAGTCAAGCTCAGGATAAGCACAAACAGGCTGGAGTTTAACTACATCCTTTATTCCCCATCGTAAACTTTAACGTGTTGTGCATTTTTTGGTAGATAATACATTCATGTGGTTTAAAATAAAAGGGTACAAAATGCACAAAATAAATAGTCCTATCTCCCTTCCCTGTCCCTGAGCCATCCAGGTCATGTCCCTGAGGACAGATGTGATGATCATCAGCTTCTTGGGCATTCTTGCAGACAGAATTCATGCATATAAGAGCAAATTTACATATTATATTCTTTCTTTCTTTGTTACATTAAGGTAGTTTGCTAGCATATTAGACACACTTTTTATTATACTTTTAACTTAATTTTTTTTTTTTAGATTTTATTTATTTATTTGACAGAGAGAGACACAGTGAGAGAGGGAACACAAGCAGGGGGAGTAGGAGAGGGAGAAGCAGGCTTCCCGCCGAGCAGGGAGCCCGATGTGGGGCTCGATCCCAGGACCCTGGGATCATGACCCGAGCAGAAGGCAGATGCTCAACGACTGAGCCACCCAGGCGCCCCTACTTTTAATTTTATTTTGGAGATCATTGTATATTAGCACATAAAGAGCTCTATGTTTTATAGCTGTACTGTATTCCATTGTGTGGATGTGGATGTAGGTAGCCAGTCGCCTAGGATGCAAGTTTATTTCTGATCTTTTGCTATTACAAACCGTGCTGCAAAAATGAACTGGGAACTTGGGCCATTTGGCATATGTAGCAGTACTGGAAGCGGAAATGCTGGAACAAAGGATCTGTGGACCAGGGATTTTGATAAATGCTGCCACATTGTGCTCCATCACAGTGGTGCCGGTTCAGCAAAACATGAGGGTGGTGGGTCCCTAATTGCGCTAACCATTGTGCTACCCAACATTTTTTTTCATCGTGACCAATCTGATAGGTGATTGAGTATCTCCTCATATGTTAAAAGGTCACTTGTATTTCCTTTTCTGTCAGCTCTTACTTCTGTCTTTTTTTTTTTTTTTAAAGATTTTATTTATTTATTTGAGAGAGAGAGAGAGAAACACCATGAGAGGGGAGAAGGTCAGAGGGAGAAGCAGGCTCCCCGCTGAGCCGGGAGCCCAATGCAGGACTCGATCCCAGGACTCCGGGATCATGACCTGAGCCGAAGGCAGTTGCCTAACCAACTGAGCCACCCAGGCACCCCTTACTTCTGTCTTTTGTCCAGTTTTCTGTTGGATTGTTGGTATTTTTCTTAATGATATGAAGGGACTCTATTAAAAGGGAAATTTAACCCTTTTGTGTGATAGGAATTACAAATATTTTTTTCCAGCTTCTTGTTTGTGCTTAACTTTGTTTATGGTGGGTTTTGTCACATAAAATTTTTGTTTGTATAGAGTAGTTATACAATTTTTCATTTTATGACTCCTAGACTTTATATAATAGTTCAGGAAGAATTCTTCTATAAACTTCTTCCAAGTTTATAGAAGAATTTTCTTATAGTTGCTCCTAGTCTTGTTTGTTTGTTTGTTTTAAACTTTTTTACATTTAAATATTTATATCAGGAAACTGTGCTAATATCAAATGTGAGGTATGAATCCAACCCTGGTTTTGTTTTTGTTTTAAGCTGTCTCCCTGGTTATTCTAAAATAATTTAGTGACTAACCCATCTTCTCCTCTCTTATGTGAGATGACATCTTTGTCATGTATCAAATTCCTGTACTTGGACTGATTTTGATACCATCCATTATATTCTGTTGAGTTGTCTGTTACGTATCAGTACCACACTGTTTTAGTTATTTTACTTTATATATTTATACCTTTTTAAATTTATATATGTATCATCAGGTAGGAAGAGTATTCCATGATTGATCCTCTCTTTCAAAAATTTCCTGTCTCTTCCTGCTTTGTTTGGTATTCTATATGAATTTAGCATCAGCTTGTCTATGTACCCAAAAAATCCTACGACTACTTTTATGGGATGAAGTTTACAAACAAACTTGGCAAGAATTCACAACCATATGATATGACTTGCCTTTCCATTTGCTCTCTTTTTTGTGACTCCTCCCCCCCAGAATATTTTAAACTTTACATCTTACAGGCCTGGCGTATTTATTAAGTTTATTGCAATATATAAGTTTTTATTGCTATTGTAAATAAAACCTTTTGATCTACCTTCCTACTATTGTTTGTATACCCGAAATGTGTTGATTTCTGTATAGTACTTTTGCACCCATCCATTTTGCTAGATTCTCTTTGCTTATGAACACTTTCCAGTGGCTTTTCCTGGGTCCTCCCCAAATGTGCAATCATAACATCTGTAAATAATGATAATTTTAGGGCATCTGGGTGGCTCAGTCGGTTAAGCTTCTGCTTTCAGCTCAGGTCATGAACCCAGGGTCCTGGGATCGAGTCCCACATCGGGCTCCCTGCTCAGCAGAGAGTCTGCTTCTCCCTCTCCCTCTGCCTCTCCCCTGGCTTGTGCCCTCTGTCACTCACTTTCTCTCTCAAATAAATAAATAATATTTTTTTTAAATGGTAATTTTACTTCTTGTTTTAAAGGTGTATACCTCTAATTTATTTTGTTACCTTCATTTCTTTGGTTTCTAGGATCTCCAGAATAATATTAAATAAAAGTAGTGATATGGTTTCCTTATGACATTCCTAACCTTAATGAGAATGCATCTCATTAATGAGAATGTTTTCCCATTTAAGCATGATGCTGGCTGGCTTCTGGGTTGACTAGGATAAGTTTAAACACTAAGGAAATTGCCATCTAATCCTATTTTACTGAAAGTATTTTAAATCATGGATGGATGTTGACTTTTATCAAATGTCACTCCAGTACCCTTCAAGATGATTGTAGGATTTTTTTCTCCATAGTTTGATTAATACCATGGATTACATAATAAATTCACTGATATTGAACCATCCTTATATTGCTGAAATGAATATCATTTGGTCATGATGTCTTATTATTTTAATATATTTTTCTGTTCTGTTTGCTAATATATTTTTTAAGATTTTATTTATGTGAGAAAGAGAACGTGTGGGAAGGGGGAGGGGAGCAGAGGGGAAGGGATAAGGGACAAGCAGGTTCCGAGCTGAGCACAGAGCCAGTGCAGGGCTCAACGCCAGGACTCCAAGATCATGACCTGAGCCGAAACCAAGAGTCAGAAGCTTCACTGACTGAGCCACCCAGGCGCCCCCTGTTTGCTAATATTTTATTTAACATTTTTACATCAAATTCCTCAGTAAGATTGGCCTTTAGTTCATTTATTTCACACTTATATGGCTTTTATATATGCTGATTACAATGACTAGGGATGAATGTGTTTTCCTGATTTACTTATCATGGAGAACTGTTTCATTTATATTTACTAGGGAATGGTATGACTTCCTTGGCTTGGAACAGAATGGGAAGGTAGAGAATGGAATTAGGTTAAGGCTGACCCGCTCTGGAAATAGTGTCTGGGCCCATCTCATGGCAGAGCTTTGTGTT